TTGAAACTGAAAAGCAAGAGCAGAGATTTATATATAAAAATGGAGAGACCGAAGAAGAAGAAGAGAGTGGTGGATGGGTTGAGGGAAAGGCTTCAGAGACAGCCTTGCTTTGTCTTTCCCCAATAATGCTTCAGATTCCCAAATTCCTTTTTTTTAATCATTTGCTCTAATAATCATAATTACACCCACAATTTCCACATTAAAAAACACTTACCCTTTCTAAGCCCATCACATTATTTACTCCATTCTTAAAATCAATTTAACACTTTTTAATTTAATCCAATAAAAGCTCCCACAGTTTGTAGTTTTATATTGCATTTCCTCAGGAATCCCATGTGGAAACGACTCAAAGTCATGCAACGGATATTTCCAGGGGTATTCTCGTCAATTCACAGTGAGGTTTCAACTCGGTATTAGCAATGGTAGATCTAGCTAACGGAAACTTTAACTCATCTTAATAAAAAAAAAAAAATACTTTTAAGTGTTTATCACATATGTCTTATTGTCGACCGCTACTAAAAATTTGATAATTCATTATGTTTTAAATTATATAAAACGGTACCTATCTTTCTCTAAAGGGTGGTCAGTGAGCCATTCAATTTCCAATTAAATATTGTTTGATTCTATCCGTTACTAATTGTTATTTCTTTAGTTTAGTGGGAAAAATAGTGAACTTCGTCGAATGAAAATTTTGTTTACTTGACTTTATTTTGTACATGTTAGGTTATTTAATAGTGATAGTTTAGAACAATGTATTAGTTTCAATGGAAATGAAAATGAGGTATTAGTATTTAGGGCAAAATACATTTTTGGCTACTGAGGTCTGAGATACGTGTCTACTTAGAACCTACAATTTCAAAATGAACACTTTTGGTCACTGAGGTTTGGAGGTGTTTAATTGGTCCCTATAGTTTGAAAATGAACATTTTTTGTCCTTGAGGTTTAAAGTAAGTGTCAACTTGATCCCTGAAGTTTCAAAATGAATACTTTTGGTCCTTTAAGTTTGATAAATAGTTCTAAATGGTCCCTGATTTTTTTACCATTAATTAATTAATATTAAAATGATATGACAAATTACAATTAAGTTATTCATTGTAGTTGCTGATGTTGCAAATTATATTAATTAAATGATATATGTCCAACAGCGGCAAAGACGTGGTCGTCGCCGGAAAATGGTAGGAGAAAGAGATGAGGAGATGATAGAGAAAGTACCATCACCTACACATATATTATTTAATTAATATAATTTGTCACAATTTAATTGCAATTTACCACGTTATTTTAATATTAGTTAATTAACAGTAAAAAAAATCAGGGACGATTTAAAACTATTTCTCAAATTTCAAGTACTAAAAGTGTTTATTTTAAAACTTCAAGGATCAAGTTAACTTACTTTAAACTTCAAGGACCAAATATGTTCATCTTGAAACTTCATGATCAAGTAGACACTTACCTCAAATTTTATGGACCAAAAATGTGTTTTACCTGGTATTTATCAATGGTTTCATGTCGTACATGAACTAATCATTATAATAACTATATAATAATGTTTTGATTCAAACTTTTTTTAGGTAAGAAAAGTTTATGAATAGCACCAAATTTCAAAAGTTTAGATAAATAATAAGAAAAGAAATCTCTTATTCAGTTGAAAATTTAAAATGGAAAAAATGGTTAGCAAGAAGACTTATTTTGTAATCATTAAAATCTATTATCTATCAACTTTATTAAGTTAATTTATTTTCATAAATGGTAAAAGTATGTGCCAAACTTTATTTATTATTTAATTTATAAAATAATTGAATATAGTTACAATTTCTTTATCACCTAATCTACTTTCAAATTTTCAACTTTTTTTTTTTTTGGAAATTCTTCTGAAAGAAGGATATAAAATTTATACGAAATGAAGTGAAGTCACGTCGATTCAATTTCTAACATCTTAATTTCACCAATACACCTGAATAAATAATTTATTGTTTTTGATTCCCCAATCGCGGGTATGAAATTTACACGAATGCCCTTGTGGAGGACACGTGTCAGATAAACAAAAGGTAAGTGGAATAAATTCGTAAAATTAAAATATTATTGAATATAATATAGAAATCTTGTAGTTGGCTTCACAGTCTGTCTCCTCCCCATGTTGACAATTTCTCAACAACCCTTGGCGTGATTGGCGATTTGACTGAAATGCCCATCACATCTTTAAATTTCCACAATGGTCCAGCCAATTACAGCTAACGAGTCCAGGGTGGATCACCCACCAAACGAGAATATTTTTTCAAGATAATAACGTGGACACGTGGCAAACACCCATTTATTTGTCTAACCATGTTCATTGGGTCCACTTCGCTCGTTCTCTACACCCAAATCCAACTTATATATATTATATATAGCAATTTCTCTCAAGAAAAACAAAAACAAATGAGTTTTTTTTTTTTTTTCCTTGCTGATAGAATGGTAATGCTAAAGTTAGAGAGAGTTAACATTCTAAGACATCTGACTGAATGCTCTATATATCATCATATCCATATATATCATCATACGCAGATGTATCACGTAAGATCACGACCACTTTATACTATAGAACTAAAAGGAGACTAATATAAAATCTTTATTTACCTGTAAAAAGCCTCGTGCCATAAGTAAACAAAAGTGATTATGATCTGAATCGACAAGTACTATACCATCTCATTTATTTGTCTAGCCATGTTGAACTCATGGCCTATGGGTCCATTTCACTAGCAAATCCAACCTACGTCTTGTACTTGGACTTAGGCGAAGGCAAGTACAAGGCAAAGGCAAGCATTTATGAAATTTCTAAATAAAACTTAGTAAGATTTCTTCAAAATTTCATGAAAATGAAAATTACTGATTACTTAAAAATTAAGACAATATTAATCTTAAGTACTTGAAAATGGAAATTATAGATTAAAATACACTTTAGTCCATGTATTTTTAGCTTTGTTTCATTTTAGTTCTTATACTTTTAAAATGTTTGTTTTTGTCTTTGTATTTTCAATTTTGATTCATTTTAGTCTATGTACTTCGAAAATGTTCATTTAGGTCCATATATTTTTAAAAAGTTGCCAGTTTGGTCTCTTCATTTTATTTTAAATCTCACTTTTTTCTATCACAATTTCAACATCACATTACAATCAATATATTTTTTAAAATATAAATATTACTTTATATTGAATAGTTTCTATTATGTGTAAAATTTATGTTAAAATCTTGCAAATATGGACTAAAATGAGAAATTTTTAAAAGTATAGGGATCAAAATGAATATTTTCAAAATATCGGAACTAAAGTGAACCAAAGTTGAAAGTATAGAGACAAAAATGAACATTTTCAAAATATAGGGACTAAAATAAATCAAAACTAAAAGTAAGAACCAACGTAGTAGTTTAACCAAAATTACATTTAGGGTCTTCCTTATTTAACATTTCTATTTACTATTTTTAAACATGATTAAATCATCAATTAACTTAAATTTAATTGGTGTGGATAAATTTTATTATTTATTGTAAGACAATAAATCCAACCTTATAGGATGATATTACAAGCTCTCCATACAATGCATACAATAATTGCAAGACAATATTCCACCGAATAGGATGATATTACAATAGGTCAAGAAATTCGAAAGAATTATTAAATCAAATGATACAAGTTCAATCGTACATGAACCGTCACTGCAAGTTTTTTTTTGCGACGAGTTTATTTTCGTCATGGTACTTTCATCAAAAGTCTAGTTATACTCAAAACAACAATATCATGTCATTGTGAGAGTATAGAGAATCAGTCATTTGGACGGACTCTCAATGTTTACCACCGTTAAAATTTCTCTCTTAGTTGTCAATTAAAATTTTTTTAATGGCAGCAAGAATAAGATTGATTCGGACATACACAAATATTTTCCCTTATTAAATGCCCATTCTTCTCTCGAACATAAACTACTCTCCAATATGATTTATGTTTTCCCTCTCTCACTTTTCATGGCATCCTTCTTACTTGTACTTTTCTCTCCTAACTATTCTTCTCTATAAAATTTCATCATTTCCTCTTTCTAATTTATATTTTTTTCTTTCAAACTTTTTTTCCCCCTACCGTTTCTTACTATCATTTTTCTTTCCCTTCTCTCTAACTCGATTGGTTTGATGAATGATCCAATCCATGTTGGTTTGTAAATTACAAAACTGATTCGTCGATTAGTCATTTGGTCAAAAAAGTGATTTTCGATCGAACCAACCTACTTTATAAAGAAATTAAATAATATAGAATGTAGCTATCCATAAGGTTTATGATTTCCTTTTAAATTTTCTTCTCCACCATTTCTTCAATTTTTTCTTCTTCTCCCTGCATCTCTCGCTTAGTCTTAATTTTTTTTTTCCCTTTCTTCTCTCTCTTTTTCCTGGCGTCTCCTCTCAATCTCACTTCTGTCTCTCTCAAGTCTCTATGCCTCTCTTCGCACACTCACTCAGATGCCATAATAAGGCTCTTTTTGCATTCTTTTGGTTCTTTCTTCATTTCTTAATCGAATTTTTTTCCTTTGTGTTCTCCAGTCTTCTACTTCAACAAAAAGAAAAAAAGTCAGTTTAAACCGAAAGTGGCTGACCGAACCGATCGGTCAGCGTAACAAAGGAAAGAAAAAAATGATCAGTTTCCATTACTGAAAACCGACCAGGTCGATTTTAGCATCGATTTCAACGCCAAATCAATGCCATCCCTACACTACATAACTTCTCTCTATATGTTCCTCTCTCTAACCCATATCTTGCTTATAATTTTTTCCTCTCTAAAATAAAACACTATAATTTGACAATTATCATATAATTTTAAAAAATACTATTAGACAAAATTTATGTTTCTATTTTTGAAAAGCGAAGGAGAAAAAGAAAAAAAAAAGCTTAGAGAGGCACTTGAAATTAGGGAAGACCAAACAGAACTTATTTAATTATTGCACAACCAAATAGACGAATGCAGATAAATCTATATACATTATTTCAATATTTATGACGTAATATTATTTATTATATAAAAGAATGATATGATAAGAAGCTTTTTACATGGAATTTTACCCAAGTTGTCACTGGGTAAAAACAGGAAGCAATGCAATAAAATAAGCAACCAGAAGTAGATGATATGATCTTCTTATCCTAACTCTGTTTAGATTTGAGAGATGAGCGTCGGCGAATTTTTAGAAATCCAAATTTACCAGCACCAGGAGAAGAACCATCAAAAACATATGGCAAGAACCCTGTTGCTCCTTTGTATCTCTGCTGAATCTGGATCACCAAAATTATTAAACAAACATTCCCATTTCAACAAATACAATTTTGAGGATTGATCAGAATAAAATATAGGAATGTAATGTAAAAAAGTAAAGAGACCTCGAAGATTTGGTGGCTGCTGGCTAAGGAGTTTCTGCCCATAACGCAGACGGTTCCACCGGAGCCCCCACCAGTGATCTTTGCTCCATACAAGGTCCCATCTTCTGATTTGGATAACTTAGAGTGCTGCAGGTCCTGCACCAGTTGGACTAGCCTGTCCGTCCCGTCCGACCCCAGCCCACACGCGCTGTAACTATAATGACACTGCACCAAATCGAACCGAACCGAGTCAATATTATCACCTTAATTCCCATTCATTCAGTATAAGTCAAAAGTTGAGTGGTTGGTCCTACTATTGTACCTGATACAACAATTCTCCAAGAGATGTAAGTTGGTAGTCAGAAGTGGCAGAAGTGAGCAGCGCTTTGAAGGCCTTCAAATGAACCCAATGCCAACCACCATTTCATTCATTAGTTAAATTAAATAATACAGTAATTAGCAAAGCAAGGGAATAGAAATTAAAAACCTTGACACGGAAATTCTCATAGATGGGATGGCGAGCGGAGGCCCTGACTCCATAAACCCTCTTCTGATGGATCACCGTGACAGCGTCATTATGATCCTCATATTTCTCAAGAAAATGCTCCCCTGTTATGGAGTCCGGAAGCTCCTTCGCATACATGCCTTCGTAGCGGTGAGGCGGAAGATTGCACAGATACTCTAAGCAGCTTTCAGCTTCCAGCAGTTCCATGCCATCCTGATCCTCCAACTCCTCGCTGTGCGATGAGTATGACAACGATTTTGATACCAAATCGGATGCTCTTGACTTTATCATTTTCAGGCCCATGAACGCTCCAATCCGCACTGAACCGTAGTCTGCCCCGCCCACACTGTCCCACCCAGTAACCATTTTAAGGATGAATTTAAGCTGATGAATTGGGGGAATTTAATTCATATAATGTATATCTAACACTTCTCTCATTCGTGGACTTGGAACATTGCAACGAGTTCCAACAAGTGGAAATCATAATAAATGGAGAGGGAACGACAATGCAAAGGTGCAAACATAGGACCTTCCGTTCTGATATCATTTTAAAAATGAATAAACTATCATTCAACCCAAAAACTTGAGTTAAATATGAATGGATTTGATAAATTTAATTCATGGAATGGATATCTAACAACAATTACCGTATCATGAAATCAAAATCATGCTACTTGAATCAATTTAAAACCATTATTACCTGTGTCGAATTCCGGAATCGATTCCCCAGAATCGAATGTGAGGGGGTATATCAACCAAGCCAATCACCTCCGCTGGCTGGCACACCATTGCTAGAAGTTTATCGGCTTCCCCACACGCCGATGTCATCTGGTCCATCACTCCACACGGTGCTCCTACAATGTGATTCTCCACCTGATTTTCAACCAACCCCCATTATCAAATTTCCATCTTTTTTATTTTTTGAAACCAAACAAACACAAACTAAACTACTTCCATTCCCAAATTTCATACCTTTTGACAGAGTAGGGCCAGGTCTCTTGGACTGATCCTTAATCCTGCACCAATATATTTTCAACTTTGTTTACTTCATTCTCCTCCTGACTTTAACTTGGTTTTAGAAAGAAATAATTTAATTTAATTACCATGACCAGCAGCTATGGCAGACATTGAAGCAACCTCCACCGACGCGGATGATGACACGCCTTTCCCTTCAGGGACCTTGGAAGAAACCTGCATGCGCCATAAAACACAAGGAAGTTATAAATATATAATATTTGTTTGGTTTTTGCATGATATGGATAGATATATATTTGATACGCATACCAGCAAGCTGATGCTATCTTGGAAACGAACACCCAACTCTTTCATGAGAACCAAAATGGTGCCTGCAATATAGGCTGCCCATTTCTGTGCAGGATCCTGAGCAAAATATTTCCTGGCTTTCTCGTACGACATTGGCCTCTCCCCATCCATGAAGTCCTGCAAATCCATGTCGAACGTTGGCGCCCTGTTGCTCAACTCCGACCCATACGACACCTAGATTAATAATAACAATAACTATATAATCAGCAAAATATAACCACAAAAAAAAAGGGTAATGTTAGAAAGTATATACAATTTGAAGAACGGGCTTGGATCCTTCTCCTTTGGCGTTCTGCCGAGCCTGAGCGTGTTTCCAGAGGCGGTGTTTAGTAGGATGGTTTCTTTGCACCGCTACATGGCATGCTTCTCTTATTGGCATCTACAACACAGCACAGATACAAAATTTTTAACTGTAATTTCTTTAAAAAAAGGTAGGATTGGATTGGGAAAATTGTAAATTTACCTGCAGAACAAGACTTCCCGAGTAGTCGGCAATTCCTCCCATGACATCCAACCTTCCTGGAGCTCTTGTCACAAAAATATCTTCCTAAAAACACAAAAACAAACATGATTAAAAAAAGAAGGAAAAGTAGAGAAATTTTGGTAACAACATTACTAACCTCCCAATTGAAGAGTCCAGCAGCAGCCTTCCGCTCCCGCATTTGGCGTTTCTCAGCATTTCCGGATTCATACACTGTACCCAATTCAGCCAAACTCTTCAAGAAACTCATTGTATCAGAGAGTCCCTGAACATCTCCATGAACCACATCAAAATCTTCCAGATATCTATTAAAGTCATGATCCGGGGGGGAACAAAAGTCAGTTTTAAGACACAAGGAACTATCCATTACTTCATTTCAAGCTCGAAAAAGTTCTCACGATTCCATATGAGACCCTCTCCCTTCCACAGGTAAAGCTGCTGATTTGTTAGAAAGACCAAGTTCACTTTCTGCATTGGCATACCAATCTGGAATGCATAGATCTCGTCCCGGGACCCTCTGCAGTTGGTAACCAAGAACTATAGCGTCCCGCAACCTTCTCGCCCCGCTAAACTATATAGTTTGACCATGAAAATTTGAGGATAAGAAACAACATAAGATCTCATTAAACCCTGGAAAGAATGGTGTCGTTTGAGGGAATTCAACCTTATCTGATGCATAATTCTTCCCGCTGGCCGTCTCTTGCAAGATATGAGCTGCAACCTAACAGTTTCAAGGAGAAGCTTCAACTAGATGTATGAGAAAAAGTAAACAGAGCAATTAGAATAATGAATGGAATACAATATATTAGAGGACTCACTATACCTCACCGCCATTGGTACCGCACTCGTAGCAAGGTTTCAAACTGATAGCGCGTTCAAGATATGGTTTCCAGTGACCAGTGAGCAAGTCCCTTCTTATCATCTCAACACCGCTTTGATAATACTGTTAATAAGATTAAAAAAAGGAATCAGATTATCAACAAAACCAGGTTAAAGGAAGTACAGATTAGAAAGACAACAATACAATTGCACCACCTCAAGCATATTCCTTAGAAATGGTTCTTCGTTGAAATAATCTCGGCGAACAAAGACAAAGGGTAACTTGAATGCCAGAGCTTCACTGACAGTTCCATAACCAATTTTTCCTGAAACAGGAAGAACATGTTAATCTACTTCAATCCATCCAATTCAGCTTGCCACCGACAAGTAGCGATATTCTAACTCACCGAGCATACAATCAGAAGCAGCTATTAGATCAGGTGTGTATGCATCTTTTGCAAGCTTGATGAAATTTGGTGGAAGTTCCTCTGTATCAGAAGCACCGCAAACCTGAATCAAAAATCGAAAATGCCACGGTATAAATGTTCGTGATTATAGAATCACATGATTATCTAATGAAAAATTATATGCATAAGATGCTCGAAAGATACCAGACACAGCCAGCCGGGGGGTAGGTATTCCTCCTTCAACTTCCAGCCTGCAGGCTGCCAGTAAGAGGGACAGTAATAAGAAGGGGAAAAGTTGATAAGACTAAGTGATGATAATCATAAAATCGTTCCTCAAATGAGAGTGAAAATTTTACTAAAGCTATTTATAATGTCTTTTGCAAGGCATCTCAATTTCAGGAGAAAAAAAAAACCAATGAAAGCATTAATCTTTGATTGAGTTACTTCAAAAAGTAAAGTTTATTTTAAAACTTTAAACGAATCAAAGGTTGAAAACAAATCGAATTGACAGACCTGCCCGCCAAAGTTGAGGATAACTAACTTTATATCTTCTCCAATTCCAAGTTCCTTCCTCACCTAGAACATAATGATTCAAGTAAGATACTATTAATGACTTAAAATACTCAAGACGTATACTAGAACTTCATAAAACAATACCTCCTTTCGTTGTTTATGAAGCCTTCTAACAACTAGAGGTACATCGACCACATCACGAAAAGCAGGCACTGCAAAATGTGGATGTATTGTATAATTATAAATACAAATATAACAAAACTCCCAGCACAAGAATATGTGATTTGGGTTGTAATGTCATTAATTAAAAAATTAAAAGAAAAAATGTGACAAATTTTTAGACGAGATTACTTGGGCAGTATCCTGGGAGGCGGATCAAGAACTCGCAATGTGAATAATCCTCTGCAATCTGTGAAGAGACTTTACAAGTTAGATACAATTAATGACCAATCGAGGCCTATTCTAAGAACATTACAGAATGTTGAAGTATAGACAATATTACCTCAATCTACCCTACTACACGGGATGAAGAATATCAACTGTCATTGGAATTTTATTTTCAAGTATTTTTTAGTTCAGAATCCATGCATTATATCCCTCACGCATTAAAATTTACATCCTGATCTGAAAATAACAACCACCACCACAAATGGTCTGTAATTATGAAAGTTACATCCTCTCTAATAGTTGGCAAGAAAATCATATCTTCTGACTTAAAACTCACTCTGTGAAGACATGGTTCCAGTGGAATTCCTACCGAAAGAAAACCCCATCACTTCTAAAAAAAACTGTAAATTTCGGTGATAAGTCTATTATCAACTCATTTAGCTAAATCGGCATAATTGTATTCGATATCTGAATTAGACCAACGAAATTACCAAGAAGGTAGTGTTAACACAATGACACTCTTTTTAACATAATTCTAATCAGTATGATCACGGCCTCATTGGATAAGGTTGTTTTCTTTGACAATATTTCATCACATATTAATGCAGAAAGGGAACAATTTACCTGCCAGACTATAGAACGGTGATGATGCCCCGCAGCCATCACATACTCCGCATAGATAAAATCCCAACTGCAGATATTAACTAACGATCATCAGCCAAACGATAGAGTTTTAGAGTAATGCAATATAATATCATTTAAACTTTTAATACCAAGAAAAAGGAACATCAACATTAACCAGATTCTCACAGTTCTGCCTAATAAAAACAGATAAATAAATAAGAGTGACCTAAAGTTCGTGACACAAACAGAGCGAATTCCAGCATCGGCAGCGGCACGGCAAGCAACTGGTACAACATCAGAAACCTGCTCATTGCAGCAGCAGAAGTAAATCCGCCAAGCCCTTTTAACACCATACAGACTCCTTAAATTAGTATCTGTACGAAAAGAAGTGTTTACCACTAAATCAGCTTTGATGCAGTTGAGCCACTCTACTTCAGTAGCCAAAATGGAAGCCCGAGGGACGACGGCTGTCTCATGATACTAATTTAACAAAAAGATCATCAAAACAGTTGGAAATTAAAAGATGCAGCAGAAAAGGGACTCTGAGTTAATGGAATAACTAGTAGCTACGATATAGTTTCTTGTCTAAAGGAAGCAGGGGACAGGTGATGAATGGAACCAAAAATAGCTGGTAAGAAGAAAAACAAGAAAAGAAAAATGAGATATTTATCCCTTCACCTTCTCTAATGATGCCAAACGATCTACCGTCAATGCATCTGCTTGAACAGCTCCACAATCCAACAATACCTGATCATTGATGAGATTATTAAGACCACCATAAAAACTCATTTTTGCATAAGGATTAATATGGTTTGCAGAAGAAAGTTAAATGATAAGCTGTGACTACTAAAAGAAGGGGTGACATGGTTATTCATAACAAATTGCTTGACCTTATAATTGATAATAGTCACGTAATGAAATGAAATTTACAATCTCAAGAGCAACAAGAACCTTTTATTCATGAGGAATTGCACGAAGTTATAATTGGATGATCCAAAGGGGCCAATGCATTACACGAACAGAGTTTTTTTGTCGAGAAAATAAAATAATACAGATTTTGCAGAAGCAATAGTAAAAATCTCAAGGTTTCTTGAGCAAAGTAAAAATACAGGAGAGTGGAAACCCAAAATTAGAAGACTTGTTGTGAACGAATTTCTCTCTCAAACAAAATTATAGCTTTCAAATTCTAAGCCTCTCAAATCATTTCAGAAAGAGAGAGGGAAAAAAAATGAGGAATATAATGCAGAAGCAACAGTAAAAATCTCAATATTTGTTGAATACAGAGAAGGAAACAGTAACGGGTCAGTGAAATTCGAAAGGAAAAAAAAAAAAAGATAACAAAACTCAAGTCAAAACTTTATGAACAATGAACTTAGTAAAAAACTACAAAAATTTAAAAACATTAATTATTATAAGTGTTTAAAGTGGAAACGTAAAAGACAAGAAATTGTAAATGTGTAATAATCAAGTCAAACTTCAATTAAAAGGGAAAAAAATCTCTTGGGCTGGCCTTGGAATTTGGAACTACCTTCCGTATGAATAGCCGAGGGGACTGGATTGCCGAAGTAAAAACGAACTCAGGAGCACCGCTGACCACATGAACATCATGCCCAGCAAGTATAAGATGCCGCACAACCTTTTCACATAACCAATAAATCAAAAACCTTCGATTATCAGAACACGATCGCCAGAGTAAACTAAACAATCCAGTTCTTCTTCAAACCAGACATCAAACGAAAAATGGGAAAATTTTCAAGTCCCACATCGTCATTCCAAACCAAAAATCGGAATTCAAGAGGAACATGCCAGAGAAACCCAAAATCAAAATTCAAGAGGAACATGCCAGAGAAACCCGAAATCGAAACAGAAATTCATTACTGATTTAGCTCAATTAGAAGACTCGAGTCTCTACAAGTTCGAGGCTCAAAAGTCAAAACAACAGTTTCTCACAAAAGACGACGACCCTTTTTCAATCAAAACTCAACTAGATAAAAATTCATTGATTCTGAGAATGATCAACGGAATTGGAGGAGCAAAAACAGCTGACCTCAATAACGCGAGTAGCATGGCCGAAGCCATGTCCAGTGACATAGTAAGCGAAAACCAGAGGATTTCGCGACGCTGAAACTGCCTCCGCCTCCTTCTCAATCCTCATTTTCTTCCTCCCAGTCGAACAAACAAAATTCCCAGGCAATTACTGCTAATAAAACAGGGCAAAGGAAAAAAGAAATGCCACAAATTGTATTTCCCAAGACACGAGTTTATGATGATCTTGATGGAGACCCTTTTGCCATCGAGGAATATGGAGCAATTTCTCCGAAGAGAGAACCGTGTGACTCCGAGTTCGTTTTCGTCTTCGATTGAGACCGTTTTCTTTCGGATTCTGTATTTCCCTTTTGGAATTTGGAGGCATATATATAAGACATAATTAATTTAAAATTAATAATAGTATTCGAATAATACAGAAAGTAGTTTCGTCTTTGGATTTAATCTTAATTGCGTCAGATACACGTCACATTAACCAGACCAACCAATTACCAATCTTATCTCTTCTGCCATACTCCTATAAATGGGGATAATCAACTTCCAATCCATATCCTATTTAGTTTACCTTTTCAGGGAAAAAAAAAACATTTTTGCTTTTTAAAAATTATGCTTAGTTTTATTTATAAATTAATTAAGTGTTTGCCCAATCCCAATTGTAAAAGATACGAAGAAAACAAGTGGTTTCCATAATCTTTTTTAAAAAAAAAGGTTAATTTTCTACTTCAACCTCCGAACTTTATTGTTTTCATTAACAATTTAATAAAATTTCATAATAATTACTCATGTCAAAATTTTATTGTTTTCATTGACAAGTTAATAAAATTTCATAATAATTACTCATTTCAAAAGCAATAAGTAACCCCTACTTGTGATATTATACACTTATCTACTCAAACATCTTTAATTTATTGTCAAAATAAACATAGTTTAGTGGTGGTGAGTTCGATCTTCTACTTCCACTACTTCCACACAGGTTGTACTCAAAAGAAATATGAAAACTTATTAAATCGTTCATGTCTCTTTTTAATTTAATTTTTTTTATAAAGAATATTATATTTATAAAAAAAAAGATTTAAACTTACCACAAGCACTAATATTAATCAATGAATAATGTTAATAGTTGTTTACAACTCTCAGATGTTTATAACAAAAGGTTGTGAAATTGTAAGTTCAAAATGAACAAAAATTTAAAGTACTAGACCAAAATAATATTTTAATGACAACTTTCTTACATTAATTTCAAAAGAAGATATATAAATCTACAAAGTCCCAAGGAGAAAAAAAAAATGCAACTTTGAGATGAGATGTTACATCTGAATTTGTACATGGAAAAGAATGAAAATTGGAAGCGTCTAAACTTTAAATATTTCATCTCCTTTGAAAATTGATGAGTTTGATGGATACTGCAAAGATTGAGAAGAAAAGGATGATGAAGCCGAAAAGCACAGCCACAGAAACTCCAATCATACCAGGGCCATATCCTAAGCTTACTTCCAAATATTGTTTCACAGTGCCTTCAAATCCACCTCCTAAAATCTGTGTCTCTACATCACCAAGCTGTGAGCTTATAATGCCCCGCAAAGTCCATGATACAGGGCACAAATAGTGAAACCAAATCCACCATCCTGGAATACTCTGTTTTTTAACCAAACAAACAAACTGTTAAAATCAAAGAAGGAAGGAGAAGATCGAGCAATATTTTAACTTACTGGTTTTGGGACAAGAAACCCAGAGAAGAGATTCCATAAGGAGTAGAATGCAGAAGAAACAATGGCTGCCATGTGTTGCGAAGGAGTCAGCCCAACGGCCATCATTCCATAAAATGTGAAATAGGTGAATGTCAAGAACATGAACAGAACATACAGCAAAAACTTGCCTGCAACAAATTCCAAATGATCAACCATCAAGTTTCAAGAGGTTACAATTTGAGTTCAATCCAACGAGAAACATATAAAAATCTTACCCAAAGTTCTTTCAAAATTAACCATATAATATGTGATGACACCGAATATTATGGTCTGTGCGGCAATGTATGGGATCTCCACTAGACCCTGTTGAGTATTAAGGACCAAAAGTTAAATATAAGCCCTTACTTACTGATCGCATAACAACTATTACACATATTTCATCACAAAATATGCTTGATTACGTACCTGTGCTAAAGCATAAATGATTGGAGAATACATTCCAGCAGCTCTCTCTCGGTAAAATACCGTTCTCTCAATTGACACAATAGGTTGTACTGAAGAAGCATTGTTCACCCCAAGGAATAAGCATGCGGCGTAAAGAGCTCCCATAACAACAAATAATTCTTGGGTCGAACTCCTTTCATTTGAAACATTCGTAACATTAATATCATTTACTGTTATCAAATATAGTACAAAATATATATGGTATGGATACGCATGCCTGAATAGAAGATACAAATACATAAATCAACATCAAGAATATAATAGCTTGAGTTATTAGATTAAATGAGGAGATTTTTACCTTTTCATACCAATATCCCAAAATACAGAACCAAATATCAATGCACTAATGAAGGTGAAAAACAATCTCATGGCGTTATATTGTGGGCTTCTCCAATAGACAAGTGTTTGCTTCCAAAGACAAGTCAAAAATTGGGATAGTCTGTTCTGAGAATAAGTTGAAGCAAACTTCAATGGTTCTCCACCATCGGGTGGAATACTATTGTGCTTGATGAAAGCTTCAACATTCCTAGGAAAAGAAAATTGTAAACATGACAAAATGTTTAAAAACAGAAAAAAAAAAAAATCATTGGCTTAAGTACATTAGTACAATTGCAATATGGCCACACCTGTATTGCTCTGAGTTCCTGTATAGGTCTGCAAAATCTTTACCAATTCTCTGCTCAGCCGCAGGTGTTGTGACCTCTAGCATCCAAGTAGCTGGATTGTAAGAATTTAGTATTGGAGCTACTCCGGTAATCCCCTAAGAATATAAGAATTAGTCTCTTTCAAATCTACCAATAAAATTGGGCAGAAGTGAAATATATTTTATATTCATAATGAAAATAAATTAGATTGAACTATGGTGTTACCTCAAAATAGTTAATCATTATCTGTGAATGTGTTCCTAGCTTTCCCCCATATATAACTCTTCCCCCTCGTTTCATAAGTAGTAKCTGCACATGAATTTTAACTTTTAAAATTTATGGCAAATATTCTCAATTATGTTGTTATCATTATAACAAAGATTGAGATCTAACCTCATCAAACGCTTCAAATATGTCGATGCTAGGTTGATGTATAGTACAAACAACCGTTCTTCCAGTATCAACTGTATTACGAACCGTTCGCATTACAATGGCGGCAGCTCGTGCATCCAATCCAGAGGTAGGTTCGTCCATAAAAATGATTGAAGGATTTGCAACGAGTTCCACTGCAATAGTTAGGCGTTTTCTCTGCTCTGTTGATAAACCAGTGCTGCCAGGAATGCCAACCAAAGCATGCCTAAGAGTATCGAGCTCTACTAAGTTCATTACTTCTTCAACAAACTCCTGAATAATGTATGAAGATAAGATGTGAATTATTTGAATCATTCAAGCAAATATAAATGGTAAAATTTTACAGATTCATGATCTAATGAAGCAAAATACCTGTCGTTTCTGTTTGCTGATTTCCTTTGGGAGGCGGAGAGCGGATGAAAACTGGAGGCTTTCCTCGATTGTCACTTGAGGAGAATGTATATCATTTTGCTCTACATATCCTGATATTCTAGCAAAGGTACGTTGCTCTTTTGGATAACCTGATATTTTGATTTCACCTTCAATGTATCCACCAGTTTTTCTACCAGCAAGTACGTCCATTAGTGTTGTCTTTCCCGCTCCACTTGCCCCAACTAATGCTGTTAGAACACCAGGTGAAAATACACCACTCACATTTGATAAGAGCTGCAATTTCTTTTCTGGAACATCTCTCTGCTTCATTTCGTGGAAACAGATATAATATATATCTTTCAATAAAGATAAACAAATAGGATGAACAAGGATGTGAATGAGAAATTTAAACTTCCTGGCTCACCTTTGGAATATCAACAAAATAATTAACATTGTGAAAAGTCAATGTCAGTGGTTGAAAAGGAAGAATCATTCCTTTTTCTTTCTTACTTGCTCCATCCGACGTGTTAGCCTCTGCAAATTCAAGAGTAACAAACAGAAAAAAATGTGAAAAACAAGATTAATAATCACAAGGTGGCATATGGAGAATTAATGACTAACCATTATCTGTAGAAGAATTTTCTTCTGTGGCATCAAGTGGAATTACAGTTTGAGCTTTTCTTAAAGCTGTAGAAAAAATGAAGAGTATTAAAATTTTAACGATGGATTCCCAACACTCATTACTCTACAAATGAATAAAAATTTCCAATTGAAATCACAATTTGTTGTTTTAACTTACGGTGGAGGTAAGCCAAAGCCCAAGTCACCACACTATTGAAAATGAATGCATAAATCAGCAACACACCAACACCGAGCCAGTACCAATAATCACCAGCAGGCATGTTATGCGAATGAAGAATGTTGTATCCAGTTTCATTTCCAATACTAGAATTCTGCAATTTTTTTTTTTTTTTCAGTTAGGAAGAAATTATGATCTCATGAACCAAAAAAACAAAAAAGAAAATGTATGATACCTCGATCCACCTAGTGGCAGAAAACTCATTGACAGAAATTGCACGTTGCCCATAAGACAGTGGAGACACCCAATAAGCCCATGCCCACCATGGCTTAATCATACCTGAAATAACATAACACCCAAATTATAAATACAATATAATCTTTTACATTACCTCCTCAGCTACCAATTTATCAGATTCCTACCTTTGGGTATGATAAATCCACCCAGTAGAAATATAATTAGCAGAGCAGCTGAACCAAATGTGTTGGCAACTACCATGTCTCGTGTTATGGATGCCATCATACGAAAAAGACCCACAGCCATTTGATGGACCGAGAAGAGCAAGAACATGAACCGGAAGAACCTGAAATCATTATAATTAAAATATGTTAATAAGGAGGAAGATGAAAAATAACTGTACACTAATTTAATTAACTACAAGTAATGAAAAAAAGAATTTTGGAGGTACCTTCCAAGAGCAGGGGCGAAACCAACAGTATAATATACGACACAAGACCACACAACAGCTTCAAGTATGGAGTAAGGCACTCGCAAAATCCAACTACTGATGGACCACGCCCATGCAGGGTGAAACAAGTTATCCCTTTGCTTGTAAAACACAGGCAGCCGAGATATCATAATTGGCAATTCGGAGAATCCATTGAACATCATATGAACCAATCCGTAAAATAGACATGAAAGATAGAGGTTTCCATTGTTTTCATCTGTGGGGTGTAACCTCGTTCGCAGAAACATTGTGCATGTCACGAATCCAACAAATGCCACCTGGCATGTCCTGAAAATGTAGAGAAAGCTATGCCGTCTGATCAAGAGCACTTCTCGAGCAAAGCAAGCTTTGAAAAGTTCCAACTTGGATGCAGCGTATTTAGTGTTGGCTAAAGCCGAGGGATGGCTTTGGGATTTGTCATATGAAGAATTAAGAGTGGACTCCAAAGACTTCCCAAAGCTGGAAACTTTAAATGCTTCTGCGAATTGGGAAGCAGATATGAAGGTATATGGACGAGAATCATCGGCCCAATATTGTGCTTGATCCTTTCTAGAAGTCACCTGTTCAGAACACAAGTTAGTGAAAAAGTTAATTAATTTAACTAACATGCATGGTAATTATACTAATACATTACCTCTTGTAAAAAATCAGCAACTCCCTTGCGAGGTGGTAATTGGAAACCAAGTGACTCGAAAAAATCTAACACGTGTGCTCGAGGGCCTTGATATACCAAATAACCATCTGATAGTAAAATAAGATCGTCAAACAGTTCAAATGTCTCAGGAGCAGGTTGTAAAAGAGCCATCAACACAGTGGCATCCATCTGATGAACGAAATTTCTTAAGCATTTGACTATTTGATAAGTCGTTGAGCTATCAAGTCCGGTGGATATCTCATCCATAAAGAGAATTTTCCTTGGCCCAACAATCATTTCTCCTGTAGTGACTCTTTTTCTTTGGCCGCCGGAGACGCCCCTTGTCATATCATTGCCAACTATAGTCTCGGAACATACGTCGAGACCAAGTATTTTCAAGACGTAATCAGTAAGAATACTGTACTTTTTACCACTGACAGATGATGCCTGAAGAAATTAAGTCACGTATTTAGAGAAAGATGAGAATTAAAATTCCATATGTACGATAAAATCTTCATAAATAGTTATGAGTACTACATTGAATCAAATAACAACCTTCATAAATGCATCTATATCTGGATTAGGCTGTATTTTCCTTTCTTTCTCTAAGTGAACCAGCTCTTTTGAAGACTCTATTGTAGGAAAAGATGAAGGAAAAAAAATCAATTATGGTTAAGCTAATTTTATGACAATATAATTTTATAGACCCATAAATTAAATCAACATGAATTATGACTACTATTTGGAATAAAAAAGTAGAAAAACTATGTAGAAGTGATGGTGTTGAGAAATTACAAACCTGCAAAACCTTGAGTGGCAGCTTGACATCTGGCTGCAAAGTCCAAAGTTTCCCGTACAGTTAAATCTTCCAAGTGATTGTCTGATTGGCTGATGTATGCAGAGGTTCTTTGAACACAGAACTCATCAAAACTATGCCCATTGTAGCTAATTCTACCACTTTTCTGCAAATCAACCATTATGC